CGTGGTCGCCGTTTGTTCCCATAACAGATTCGGAGAATCTAATAAAATCTAAAGAGATAACCGGCTACTGTCGCGAGCGATTCTTATACGTGGAACTAGTTTATGGTGGCACGAAGGGGTAAAGCAATCCGATTTGGGAGCGCCGCAAACGCATAGCGAGGTCGCGGACCGCCACCGTTGGTTACATTTATAAATGCGATTCTCCGTAATATATCGCCCGTGTAACCCGGCTCACACTAATTCTATCGGGATAAAGCGGCCAATAAAATCAAAAGATAGAATTATAGTCTCTCTCTCTCTCCGTTTCTCCTCGTCGCGCGACTGGTGGCTAAACTTTCGCTTTCGGCTTGAATCTAATTTAATTTTTATATTTTTCATCGCTATTTTCCTTTTGGTTCACCAGCTTTTGCACGCTTTAAGGTACAGTCTGGCGAGTGTACGTGCACGCGATTTTCACAATTCTCTCGAGACACTCCGGAAAACTCGACCGTCGACTCGTTATCTATTTCACGTAACGAGTTTTCCATGCAAATGAGATTGCGTGTAGTGAATTAGCGTTTATTACAGAGTATATGGAAGAAGTTTAATTATTAGGCTCGAGAAAAGGAAATTATCAGCCTCGGAGAGACGCGCACGCGCTTGTAGATTCGAAAGTCGAGCGAGATATTCATACGCGCGTTATCGACGACAAATCCATAACTCGCGGGCAGGAGTCCGCGGGATGCTCTCTCGTGAAATCGTATACGAGGGCAGAATGGGCGGTTTAGATCGTATCGTCCGCGATTTACCGCGGCACTTTGGATTCCTCCTTGCCTCGGACTCGGCGCGCTCGTTGACGCGCGTTTCTCTCGCGACTCTGCAGCCACGCGGGTAACGTGGCTCGACCGAGTCAATAAAATCGCTGCGACCATCGGCGTGCCGCCTCCCTTATGGGAAAACGTCTTAACCCTTGCTGTAACGCGAGAATTATGCGGAGCAGTTGCACACCAAGACCGAGCGAGACATTCAATGCTTGCACCTGCGTGCGAGTCGTTCTTCCTCTCGTTTCCTTCCTGCTGTCTCTCTCTTTCTCGGCCGGTTAAGTCCGTGGATAATTGAAATGATAACGATTACGATGTAACAGATGTAACGATTATGGAGCAACAGATACATGTCGACCGTTCGCGGCCGGTGAGACTGGATATTTGTCTGATTTATGGGAACATATATACACCCGATGGGCGTACGACGCGCGTAATGGTCCGACTTAGTTTATCAAGAATGACTTTCGTGACTTACGATAGATATCGATTTCTGATCTCTCTTGAAGATATTTTCTTTACCACGCCTCTTCTGCTCTTGTTAATATTATTATCGTGAAACTGCTTTTTATCCTCTGAAGCGTTTTTTATTCCACCTCTCTTTTTCTATGTGCAAATTAAATTTATTGTAATCACCAGGAATTACCAGGTTATTATTATAGCTGACATAAATGACTTATTATTCGTTATCTTATAATCCGTATATTTTATTTATGGTAGCTGATATTTTTGATATATTTCTCATTCAAACTAGAATGTATAATGGGTTTTGATTCTGTTTCTTCTCTTTCTCAAGTACCGTATTCAACTCGTACGTATACTCAGTTTGCTCGTAAACGCGATATTATATTAGAATTGCGAACGTTTATATCTATTGAGCTAACCTTTCCGGTTGGCGATATATTATTCAGAAGTAACTTTAAGGAACTATATGTATAAGTTCCTATCTGAACCTGATATTCTGCTATCTTTTCGTGTCCATTTTATTTATTCAGTATTTGATCAGAAATATATAGAATTCCTTTATCGCAACCCACATATAATAGATTATTGCTGTTTCTCGCGAAGATTCTTCGCGAATAAGTACGAGTATAGGGAAAGGGTTAATTCGGTCTAGATTTTTGTATCTGATAATATTTTTATCGTGTATTACAAATTCTAATTTTTTTCCGTTATATGAATTGCATGTCATTACTGTTGGACTGCACAAAATCGATTCGCATTATGATTCCGATGATTTTATCATCATCATGACTTTGCATCATTCTAATGCACCATCGTTGTATATTTACATCTGCAAAATTTCGTTAACATTTAGATAAATCTGGATAAATCAACGATGATACTAAGCATTTTTATTGCAAAAATTATTATTTCAGGCAGAGTGAACATGGAACCATCTCTTTTCAACCACTGAGGTCAAAGTCTCGAAACATTTGATTTATCAATAAAAGGAAAGAATTTTAGTAATAGACCAATCAAAAAATACCTGTACTTGTAGCATCGCGTTGAGACTTGTGATAATATTCATCGCCATACCAATATATATAAAGAAGAACCAGTATATATAAATGATTAACGTAAAATTGTTCGATCAAATCCGTCGTTTGTCGGCGATTCCGCGATAGATATCCGAACGGATACCTGACAATTTGAGAAAGAGAAAAAAAGTGTAATCGATGAACTCCGTCTTCCTTTTCCATTTGCCAGAAAAGCGTTATTCCGCATTCAAGCGCGTCACGAGCACGCGCGCACGTTCGTATAGCTCACCGGACGCCGGACGAACCTGCGAACCTGTCCCCGACGCAGGTTACCGCAGGTACGTTTCCGCGAGTGTTGCGCATTTACAATGTTGTTACGGGGCGCGGGCCCGCTCGACCGTGTGAAGAGAGACCCGTGTCGGTGTGTGCTTAATATGCGCGCGGGCGTAGGGACCGCGATGCGTGATTCAACGAGGGTTCTCACGAGCAGGCCGGGGGCTCTGTCGGCTGAGGTGCGAGGAACGAGCGGGCTTACAGAGAGGAGAAAAAAAGGTGACGAGAAACACATCGTGAGGATGAAGGAAGGAGAGGAACGCCGAGTGGTGCTATACGTTTGCGGGAATGTGCAACGGTACACGCCACATCGTTTAGGAATTCACGAATACTTTAAACGGGAGTAAATTCCTGGACTTTTTACGTCGCTGCGTCGCACACACGATGCGCCATAATGAGGCAGACGCGAGCGAGAGGGAAGAGTTGCTTCGCGATGACGCAACGTTGAATTAAGTCTTACGTAGGACAATCTTGGATGCTGTTTCGCGTAAATTTCCGTGCGATGATCTCGACTCATGTTCGTTTTGACATCTGTTATACTTCCGCAATGTCAGGCTTTCTCGAATTCTTGTAATAGTAGAATATACGTCTCGCTGTGTTATCGAGAGAACGATTATTTTATAAATAACTTAATTTCGTACCTACGTCATACAGACTTTGCCGAAAAATGAAGTGGGTGATCTGTCGGGTATTTATTAACCCTTTGCGGAATAGGGACACACGGGGGTATCATGTCAGGAGGACGAGAATAAAGATCGAAATCTCGTCGACACGTGTATGACATTTGCACACCGGCGTAGTGTGGCTCGACGTATGGCTCCGCTTGGCGACGTCGCGTGTGCACGATTCTCTCCTAGTTTTGCATTCCGTCCACGTACCCCCGCAAGCAATTAGGTTCGCCTTCGGATTCCCCGCATGCTTTCCGCCGACTCGTGCGACGTGCCATCGCACGAACATTAGTACGAAACCAAATCCTCGATATTGAATAGAGTTTCTCGATATTGAATAATTCTCGAGATACCGTTGCGAATGTACTCGCGCTGACTATTGCAGGATCGTTTATAAGAGGCTTTCTTAGTCTTTCAAGGATTTAAAGAAAATGTTTGGTATCGAGCGAGAAAAAGAGAAAAAGATGGAGACCATGTGTACGCTATTTATAATACTTTAACTTGTTTAAAAATGTGTTGAAAGAAATTTTGTTTTTTTCTTTTTGTGAATCATTTATACTGGAAAAAAATTTTAGGATGACACATTTTAAGGACTTGATTAATGGACAAATAATTCGATGGCTAGTATATCCTCAGGAATTTTTTTTCTTTTCAGATTATGTACTATTGCGTTTTCAATGTTTGTTTGGTCAGTAAATTGCTTTTTAAATAGTGATTATATTGAAGAGTGTCGAAAAATAGAAAGTGAGAGAAGATTCATGACTAATTTATTCAACAGCTACTTTTGCATACATTATTCCACTTGAAAATCGTAGACAGTGGTAAACAGCTTAAATCGACACTGAGAATATGTTAATGAACTGGGATAACACATGTACCGAATACATCACTGAATTTTAATAAAGCCGCTTAAATATCTGGAAATTAGCTCTTTATTATCGGAGGCATTTTTCATGTTTTCGATTTTTTAATAAGTGAACTTGCGTGATCAATGATATGTATCGTTGAAACAATATAGAGGTCTCATTATACTTCATAGCTTCTGTTACGACAATGGCTACTTGGCATTCACGTTGTACTGTTGAGCCGATATTGTTCGGTACGCGCCATTGCCTCTCTCGCCAAGCACCATCCGCATACGTGGGATTCAATTGGAAGATAATGCGTCTTCCGTTGCATCTTACGCTGCACGCACACGCGCCTTTCTCTCTCTCTCTCTCTCTCTCTCTCTCTCTCTCTTTGTTTCTTTCTCGCTAGAAGGTGCATGTAATGTGCATAGAGATGCGGCACGTTTCTCTCCGACGAGGAGAATCACGAAGATGGATGCAGATTGAGACGATTACTCAACTATGAAATTCACTTGGCTATTGATTTTAAAAAGATTTGATTTTCATTATATACAATAACAGAAAATTGAGATGAAATACAATTGAAAGAAAAATGCAAATCTCGTCCCGCATACCCTGTAATGTCGTCCCCTTTAATTATGATCATAATATTTCTAATTATAATAGTATTTTAAAAATATATTTTTATTTTTATATTTTGTCATCAAAATGATATTTTTTATATTATTTATTTTTAAGAATGTCTTTATGTATTCGACTATTTCATAAAAAGGAGGGAAGTAATATTATTTGAGTTTGTTAAAATTTTGAAATTTATTTGTATTTTGGTATTATTGAAATATAAATGTGTGTTATATTTGATATGTTTAGGCTATTTTACAAAAGTCCTCGGTGTCGGTAGAAATCGAGGTGAGACCGAGACAGCTGGTGCCAGACACTAACTGCTTCATCGACTACCTGCAACAATTGCAGATCATTGCAAGAGCCACTTCCGGCGCACAGCCAATTTATACTCTCATGGTGCCACTCGTTGGTAAGTGAAAACAAAAGCTTGACATTTATTAACGCGGGAAAAAGATCGGAAAGAGACGCGTGCACCGTTTGGTCCCTGATATCGTTCATCATTTTATGACTAAAGATCGTCGATTATGTCGAAAGAAGATGGATGTGCTACACTTTACAGAGTCTATACAGTAATATGATTTGAATTGAAACTTTTTCCTACTTTCAAAAACTCGTGAAATAATTATTAATAAACAAAGAGAAAAATTCTGTCTTTATAACGTCATTTATCTTTCCGGATAATGAAAACAGAAGAGAATCTCGATTTATCAAATATTGTAAATTCTGCTGATCTATCTTGTCACTGCATTGTGACGTTTATCTCGTAAAATAATCTTATTTCTTGAAGATAGAAAACATGATAGAAAAACGATTAAGAAGCATTATTCATTGCATATAAAATCTTCGATTTAATAGCTTTAACTCTCATTTCTACATACATATACGTGTTCTCTAAATTCTTTTGGAGTAGAACCTTGAAAAAGGGTAGCTCAATTTTTAATCTCTAAAAGCGAGACTTGATTCTTTAAAGTGAGATTTACTTTAAAAGTTTCAGAGAGTATATTATCTCGAATTATCTACATTTTTTTCATCACAATAACTGTATACAATTAAATCGGTTATTATTATGTAATACTTTAATCAGCGCTATTGGCGCATCGAACGTATCTATGAAGTATCTAAAACCTACACAATGACCGAACACACCTTCTCAAGGGTTGTGTCTAGATAATGTCATCGAAGAGAAATGACGCGGCCAGTCGGAGGTCGCGCCTCGGGTCAAAGCAATCGCCGGTACGCAAACATAGTCGATTCGCCTTGTCTCCGACGTTAAGCGAAGCTGCAGACCGCGTCGACGATAGTCAGTCGATTCGTCGATCCCTAGCGGAGAATAGTTCATTAGGTCAACGTCATTATGCGTCACTTGTCGCAGAACTTTCCTGCCCCCTCGTCCTCGTGAGAATGGATTGTCCCATATATCGCTGGTGCGAAATGCTTTGTCCGATCGCGGGAGCCGGATCGAACTCCGACCGATACGGCCATTAACGGCGCTTGCGTCAGCTCCCGGAGGATGATGACACCGAGGAATGCGAACCGCTGTCGATTCCTTCGCTCCAATTAGCGTTAAGCAATTCTTCTCGAACGCCGCCGATCAGTCGCGCGCATTGTCGGAGTGCGTTTCCTTTAACGGTTTCACATCGAGATACGACCTGAACGAAATCACGGTCTCGAGTCATCGTCGCGCTCGAAGCAGTTAAATCCGTAGCACTCTGCAGCATACCGATTTAAAGCTGTGTTATATCGTTATTGTGTTCCGCGCTATGGAGATATAACAGTACTCTCGCCGCGCTATACTATGTACATAATTAAAACATAATTTATATAAATTTTGATTTTTTTCACAAATTAGCTTATACTTTTTAGAAACTAAATTTACATTTTCAGAATTATCTTATTCCAGAGTTATATATAACGGAATTTTAATGCACAGTACAATGTGCTGTTATGTAGCTAATATAAATATAATTCATATGCACTTTAATTTTTTACAAGTTAAACTTTAGAAACTAAATTTACATTTTCAGGGCAGAGTTATCTTATTTTTTTATAAAATCAACAGAATTTTAACATGTGATACAGTAATACAATGCACTGTATATGTGTGTGTACTATATGTACAATGAATATATTTTATACAAATTTCGACTTTTTTTACAAACTAGACTTTATAAGTTAAACTTACATTTCCAGATTTGTCTCATTTTAGAATTAACGGATTGGCATATGCAATATATAATAGTTAATTATCGGAGTATTTGACGTTGAAAGAGAAACTATTATAATTGATAGATTTCAATCAAATTTTTATTTGAGAAAAAGACGGAGTCTCTCTCTGTATTCATAAAGAATGACGCGCAGCCTGATATATACGCATACAAGTAGTTCGTAATTAATTTAAATTTTATGATACTCTACTTATATATGTATTAAGTTACGTCATTAAAATCTGTTAATTATTATTCGCATATTAATTATTATTTAATGAAACATTTGATGCGAGAAAAAGAGAGAGAGGAAATAGCGGTAAATATACCACTGTACATCATAAAGAATAGTAAACAGCTACAAGAGAGATATTTATGTGTAACTCTAAATTAATTAGAGGAAATGTCCCGTTAAGTTCAGAGCATTGCGATTAGCAGTTATATTTTTTAAAATATAATTATATACAATTATATACTTTAAAAATAATTATTTCTTTTATAAATAAATATCTCTTTCTTTTACAAGAACTAGATTTAATTGGAGCTATCACAACAATAGAATCATCAAATCATATATCACACGCCAATCGATGTTTCACTATACGATAATGCATACAGGATGATCGTTTCTGTCAAACAGTCGATGATGATGACAACAACGATGACGCATGGCACGACGGAACGACTGGCTCTTTTTTAATAGTCGCGGTTTATAGACACTCGCTACTCAGCGAAACGCAATCAGCGATAAATTTACAATCTTCCACGGTGAGGCTGACATTTTCACGGTGCTTTATAATAGTAATGCGTCTAGAGTTACGGCTACGACGACAAGACGGACATTCGGAGCATTTATTGCCTCGAGCGCGTACATCTTAACCACTCGAGCCTCTAATCTCAGTTGTGATGTATTCATTTTGTGAACATTTATCTTAGAACGCGTATTCGATTTTCACATGTAGATAAATATTTTCTAGCAAAGCTATAATAATTTAATTTACTGAGTTAGATAAAGCATGTAGAAACGTGGATTTTTTTTTAATATCTGAATGAATAGTTTCTTGAGATGATCGTGAAAGTTGTACGCGACACAGTTGCTTTAACGTTCAATTGAAGACAAGGCTGATGTCAAAGTTCAAGGCCGCTGAAAATCGAAAGGCTCATCAATCATCCTCCTTATTACCAATTAACGCTGATCTAATCATTGATTCAGCAAAATTGATTCACGATACCAATCCGGATACGGCATTTTGCGGAAGCTTAAGTCACTGTCCGCTTTATTTTGTCATGGATTTACCGTCGATCCTTCAGTGGAAGAGCCTCGAATGTCAAAATGTTTGTTAGGTAAGGTCGTGACCGTTGCGATAGGGCAAGGACAAACGTTTTACTTTGAGAATTTTGGCAACATTATCACGATTATCGATTAGTCATGGCTTATTATATTTGTTAGATTTTTTTACGACGTTACTTCAGATAGATGAAAGTACTTGTTTCAAAGCAAACGATTATGAGGAAGTGGTGCAACTGGATAAACTAATAGAAGAATGAATTCTAAAAACATGATATCACTCAAAAAGAAGACTTGTGAAAGTTGACGCGGTAAAAAGTGCGCAAAATAGACGATATAGTATATTCTTAGACATTTAGATTTAATAAATACAGTTTAAAACTGCTGATGGTGTGGTAAAACGAACGTTTTGTCTCATATTTAAGCTATATTTTTAGCGACGCAAGCAATAAATAGTAAAAATAAAATTAATACGTCTATTTAAAATTAAAATGTGAATATCTAAAAAAATACACATTACTGAAATAAAATATTTCAATAACGTTATAAAAATAGGATTGCAAAGTTTAGAAAAGACAAGATTGGATTTTAAAATTGTATTCGCTTGATATGGAGCATTTTAATTTATTTTAGTTGGACATCTAATCACGCATAATTCAAAGATTGATTATACATGTCGATATTTTAGCAGCGGAATATTTATCGTACAGTGATAAATGACGTCTGCAAGCCTAGGTGATAAATAATGCAGTTTCCCCTATTCTCTCGCTCCGCAGTTATTCTTTCTATTTCCGTCCACCCTGTCTCGCAAACTTCATCCACTACCGACCGCCCTTGCCAGTTCGTCGGGGGTCGGGTCTGGAAGGAGGATAAGGCTGGCAGCTGGTTAATTTATCGAGTCGGGGAAAGTTTGGTGAACCTCCTATTTGCATTTTCCGTAGATTGCTTCTCTGTGCGCTTTCGCGCGGCAATCTGTGGCGAATAAAGTTGATAAAGCTCTCTCTCACAGTATTCATGATAATCTACTTCCCCTTTTTCTCCGAAAAAATGCGTCTGTTTGTACAGGGAAAATAAAAACTTGAAAATGACAAACAAGCTGTGAAATGAAATGAAATTGTATTTATCATATCTTTCGATAGAAATTTTTAAAAAATTTTTATTTTATTTTAAAGATTCTATTGTAAATTCTGCTACAAATGATCAGTTAGTCATAAATTAACTTTTAAGGACAATAAAATTAGTTAAATATGAGAATTGCTATAATTAAAAGAAGAAATCTGTTTGATTTACAAATATATTAATAATAATGATAGAGTTTATAATTAGATCGAGCCATTACGTTTTAGTAAAAAATTGATTTTTCAGTCTCGTTACTTGTTCACTTTGTGCGTTTCTCCTTTTCCTTTTTGTCGTTCGTGCGGGTCGTGGGGTCGAAAAACGAAAGTGCGCCTTCATGCAAAATCGGCCGGCGTGCTGCCCTTTGACCTCGTCGGCCAGTCGGCCGACCACTGGTCCGTCTGGCTCTTGGATGGCGAGCAACGGTGAGCGTTCACAGTTAGGTTCTCACGGCTCATACATGAATGCATGTATGTGGCTTGAAACGCTCGCGATGGAGCTCGATGGCAGCGGCGTACCGCGGGCTGCCTCCTGGCTACGTTTTGTACGTGGGCGATATCAGTACGGCGGTCGCCGATCGTTGGGGAGAGTGGCTTTTGAACGCAGCTGTGATGGTCTCTTGCCTTAACAGCACGTCACCATCCCGTTTTTCTCAATCTCAGCCATGAAGACGAGATCGATCTCGTCGAATGTCGCATAAGCAACATAATAGTGATACTCTCAAACAAAACTTTTCTGTTAAAAATCTATAGATTTCATATTCAAAAAGATTTTAATTTAAGTTATTTGTATTTACGTGGAAAATATTGAAATATAAAAGAAAATAATTGCGGTTGGCACTCAAAAATGGAAAAGTATATGGAAAAACTCTTCGAATTAATCATTTTTTTATATCATCTACCATTGAACTCATATATGAACGAAATTGAGAGATTCTCTGTGTTTATTATTTCTTTATTATACTTTAAATTTTTTTAATTTTACTATTTTCAATATAAACGTAAATGTTATCTCTTTACGTGCAATATTAAAATATTGTAACTAATTGAGAAGTATTAATATATTCATGACATGTGATATTACAATGACATGTCTTATAATAAGTAAATTAATTTTTGCGTGATTTCTTTTCTTCTCTCCTAAGGATTAAATTAAAATTCACACTTTTTTTATATTTATATAATCAATTTGAAGAGATTAATCTTGATTTATCCTCTGTGTATCCTCGTGCACGCGACGTAAATTTGGACACGTCTCTTTCACGCGTGCTTAACGAGTGGAAATGTTTTTTTGTTACAGTACTAAATGAACTCGAAGGTCTAGCTCGAGGCGCCGATGCGAGAGATTGTCCTCCAGCGTCGAGAGCGACACTGAATCCTGAGCATGTGGTGCGAGTTGCCGAGAACGCCAAGGCGGCATTGGCCTTCGCGAGAAGTCGAAATCCGGCGATCCGGTGCTTAACCACGAGGGGCACCGTTCTCACATCCAGCACTTTTACGGTAGAGGAAGATGTCGACAAGGTAAGTAAGAAACTGGACAAACCTCGATCATTCGATACGCTTACATTCGCCTCTCAAATAACTGTATTCGGCATGCTGAGGTATTTAGAAGCCAAAGTTGCATCGATCATTGACCGCGAGATGTAGAACTTCTGATGAACAATCCTTTATTCTTTTTGTCTTCTTATTTTATGTAAAAATTTTAGAACATTCTCTAAAGTTATTGCAATTCAGAGATAAAATCGATATGTGTACAATTCCTTCTTTCTCCTCATCTTACTTTCTTTTTTTAATCTAAGAAGAATTACTTATTTATATTCTATTATTCTTTTGAATTTTTAATATGTTGTCGTCAATTTCAATTATCACATCGATATGTACGTTTTACATTTTATAAGAAGGTAATGCGATTTCGAATATTATATGGCGATTACAGAACCCGTTCTGATAACCGATTTGAATACGTAAATTATTAAGGAATCGTTATTTTTATCGCGATTTTATATCTAAATGCCTGCGATGTGCAACGACAAGCGACACGATAAAGCGAATCGATTGTGACATTCAGTCGATAGGATTCCAACAGTTACACGCAGAAAGTAGCCACGGTATAGTATAAACCAGTCGTTCTCAAGACCAATGGTAGCGAAGAAAGGTAGGCGCGGTGTTCATTGAAGCGCGAATGTTATGATAACGAGCCGAGAACACCCACGTAGTGTACGTGCGAAGTATTTTCTGTACTATTTGCAACTTGTGCCTGGTTATTTTCATACTAGTTTTCGCGATTGAATAATAGACTTTGTTTCATAATGACATCCTGTCAGAAATTTAAAAGATCGGTTCTCCGTTAAGTTATTTACTACTATTCTTAAATAGGATGTAATCATCTACCGATATATTTGAAATTTTGATCGTCTTGTTCTAGGATGGATTGACGCGGAACGACGACAGGATATTGACTACGTGCCTCAGTCTCTGCAGAACCAACAAGGATCAAGTAAACGCAGGTAGATATGAAAAAGATACATTTTAAGCTTAAAATATTAAAAAATAATTTATTTACGCAAAAATTGCTATTTATATGATGATATAGAATTGATAAAAACCTCTGAAAAGAGATCCTGTCCATGTTTCATGATTAAATGTGTCGTATATTCGATGCTGTTTTAAACCTTTTGTGAAAGAAAATACTTTTTTCGTTTATACTGGATTCTAAATTAGTTAGGAAAGAATAGTCTCTCTCTTTCCTAGATTTATTAAAGAATATATCCAGAGGAAATTTTATTTTCTTTTATAATGTTGCCGAGGATTATCTTTCAGGCAATATTTCGTTAGTTTTTATTAAAGACTTTTGAGACAAAAATAAATGAGTTAGAGCGGGAGATTCTGCGTAAGCTCAATAAAAAAAATTGGGGAACCCCGGCTTTTTCCTTAACAGAGGAGGGACAGCCGAGACGTTTGAGACGGGAGGTGGTTCTGCTCACGGATGACCGAAACCTCAGGGTGAAGGCTCTGGCCAGGGACGTGCCCGTGAGAGAAGTTCCCGATTTCATGCAATGGGCTGGACTCGGCTGAGACGACATGACGTGATCACGACGAAACTCCGATTCTCACTTGACGAGAAATCTCCTGTGTTCCTGCCGCGCTAGCCCGACCAAATGCCAAACAAGACCAAACGCAACGAGAGAAGAAGTAGAACGAGAAAAAATGTGCTCGTCATTGCCAACGGATCTTCATTATGGATCTCTTTCGGGGCTGATCGACTGTGCGCACACGACTTTTTGTTATCGTAAGTCTGTCGCAGGTTGTATACTCAGATTGTCTCCCGACGGTGCTCTTTTTTTTCTAAATTTTTTAAAAATCCAATTACGGAGAAACCGCGAAGTGCGATGAACAGAAGCAAGTTTTACGGAGGAAAAAGCTAAGCGCGCGCGGTCGCGTAAAATTGCGAATGAAGTACGGTACGAATGATGGAGAAAGAAACAGGCCGGAGCCTGTCGCTTGCCGTTTCGCTTGTCGGAAACGCGAGCTATTCGAAGGCTCCTCGAGAATGAGCGTGACACTACCTACCTTGTACCCCTAACTGTTCCGTGTATCTCGAACGTGCAGAGATATAAAAATTCCGAAGAGAGTCTTTTCATACGGGGGACCGTATAACGGAGCGGTCCGAAAGACACGTTGAATCCAGAACGTTCACAGCCATGGCATACACCGAAGTAAAATCGAGAAACAACCGACAGGGACGTGATTGTTTCGAAGAAAAAGCGAGAAGAAAACGGTAAAAATAGAGCTTTACTATCTTGAAGTACTGTCACTGTTTGTAGATTGTTTTTATCAATAACCGCCTATTGCGGCTGGATAACCATTTTGTATAATTTTGTTTGCCAATATTTACTTTCGTTCATCTGGGACGTTATTAAAACTTTTATATCGTATGTACGGTGTGTAGTTTGAGATGTGACGATGATGCGTTCGCGTCATCGTTTCGCTATCAATCGCGAAATGTGTCTTTTTATCGTTCCGCGTGAGTCTACCGTGACATTTTCCACAGGAGGCGATTCTCTCTTCGTTTTCTTAACGCTAAAGTCATTAACATTATTACCTTTAAGCTGCCATAAAGTGAATTATTAACGATTCGTTTCCAACGAATGCGTCATCTGGGACATCAACAAGATTGAAATGACAATCGATGTGTAACATGATTGTTGATCGTATGATCGATCGTTGTCGAGTGATAATTAAGTACTCTCGGGAAATGTTAGAAATGATCGAAAATCGTTTACTTTTGAAAATCAATGTCGATTTGCGTATAAATACACACGTGTACAAATTATATTCAATTTTTATTATACATATCAATACTTCAAATAGAATTGATTGTTGATATTATAATTTTGAACAAAATTGCTAACACACACGTTCGTCGTGGAGAATATATTTTACGCATTAACGATTGATTTTTGAAATACTCTTTACAATCGTATTCAAGTAAACGTAACATCATGTTCAAGATGTCCTTTTCATTGCTTGCGAGTACTCGCTTATGTACATTGACATCTATATGGTTCACTGGCTTAAGACTAGGAACTAACTTAAGGAGAGCGAATTTATTCCACGAGATACACGATTGCATAACCGTATGGTGTTCTTTATAATATCAAAGACTAGCTTTTACCGATAAGCGGAGAAATATATCCTACAGGTGTTAGCACGATCGCTATTATAAACATTCCGTGTTGGAATTATGTGTATTGACGAGATTTTTGATTGACGTCGATTTAGCGATGATTTTGCTCGGCTACATTATTGCGAAGTGCAATTAAGATCACTTTCGTGAGTGCGAAGTAAGATTCGCAAAATAATTCCCATGGCATGGAGTCCAATAGAGATATTGAGATCGCTTCATTCTTACGAATTCTCGGAAGTGCGTACATGACTTGCGCGCAGATGTCGATGTTTTCTTCGCCGATGTTTTTAATATTACTCGGTTTTACCAGATACGTATACGAATTTACCTTTCGGGAGAAAGTTTATCTTTCGGAAGCGCACAGTAGTAGTCGAGGCAAACGCGCGACCAGCGAGGAACTGCGGGACCGATGATCGAGTAGCGAACACGATGTCCTATTTTTCGACAGAGATAAGATAGTTACTTAATGCTCCTTAGTGTATTAAAGAGTATGCGTGTGTGAGAATGTGTGAGAGAAAAAAGAGGGGGGGGGGGGGGTAAAGAGAGAAAATAGCAGTTAGATTAACGGAGGAAGACAGTGAAAAGGGAAAAAAAACGCTCGACATACTAAAGACCGTATCTACGATAAATCTCGATGCTGTCCGAAGTCTCGTCGGAATTCCTGCGAATTAAATCGAATCAGTAAGTAAAAGAAGTGCCCACCCACTATACCGCCCGGACAGAATCCTTTCGTTACACCGTGATGTTCCGCTTGACAAACCACGCCGTTTCTGAGCAGAAGAAAGTCCTGTCGACTAAGGGTGTCTGTTCAGCGGTATTTTAAGGGAACGTAAGAAGCATATTAAAATATCTGTCGTGAGAAATTTTTCTTTTCTTTTTTTATTGACTATTATGTTTATGTATAATACAAGGATTGTATATATATTTATGGATTTAGTTACATTTTTAAGGAAAATCGCACGAATTCCTGAGATTCCGACTTTTTTTTTTTGCTTTTTACGAAACACGTTGAGGTCTTATTTAGGTATGTACGTATCTTTTAATATCATGAGAAAATGGTAAAGTAGCATTCATCAACGATGCTTTACCAGATCCAAGATCGGCACGTTGAAAGGATAGAAAAAGAGAAGATGGAGGGAGAGACGCGAGTTTCGCGCCTGTGAAGTTGTTCATATCTCTCGTCCTTCGGCGTGCCTGTTTGCTTTGACATCTTTTTCCTTTTTCCCTGTCACCTTCCCCCCTCCCTCCCCCCTCTGTTGCCGTTTTTAGCTCAATTTTTTATTCGAACCTTCACACCGAGAGAAAGTGCGTTCATCAATGAAGTTTGGCGAAGTCCTCTCGAAGCACCGACGATGTACACTGTCATTGTGTTTCACTAATTTTTAAGTACAGCCTTTCGTAGCCTTTTTAATGCGCGTATTCAGTCACCTTAAGTGACCGAGAATTAATCCGACGTTTGAGATTTGTGAGACATTTGTGTTGAGAAAGAGTGCGACGGATGGGTGAGCGAAATCGATTGCGCGAATGCACCTTTCGCAAATACATAATAGGAATGAGAAACACTTGTTTTCTTAAACCGACAACTATTTTTTTTTAGAAATATTTTTGTTGACTGAAATCAAAATGTAAAAGATCACAGTTAAGTTAGTCACTATTTTAAAATGCTTTAAGATTCATAAAATTTATTAAACAAAAACTTCGCTTTCGTGAAAAATTTGGTTTTTTTATTACGTATACATTTAAAGACTGAATATTTGCTATCATGTTAAAAAAATTATATTAGCACTATGATTATCATTGTCGAAAAGAAAGTATAAGATATTTAAATTCGAATTATTATAATATTTCGAAAATACAGTTCGCGCTCCGATGAATTGTCGGTTTTTGAGGAAAGTGTTTAGCGGTTACAATACATCCTCTTAATTTACTACAAGATAGTAATCAGGGTATAGTTTGCAATTGAACTCCGAGCATATCACACAGTATATTTACAATATCATGCGCAATAATTTTCTTGCAATAGTTATAGTAGTGCAATAGCCACTCTACCCACGAATAAGCCACCTCAGAACTATCCGTCCCCGAGCATCATAATCCATTTTCATTGTTTTTGATACAGCATATCTTCACTCACTCCTGTCTTTCAACTTTGAAATTGCATACGTCGATCCTGCGAGTAGTCATCAGCTACTCCGATCGGCTGACGCGCGATCGAGTTCACGTTAGCCCGTGCTTAATAGAAAGAGAGAGAAAGAGAGAGAGGTTACGAAACGCCTGAGAAATATAGGTAGACATTTGACGTAAGATAGACGTCGTGATTTTTAGTACCGATTTATCTCGGACGTGGACAAGCGATATCCCGCGATTATACGTTCTCTCAACGCTCTCCGCTTCCGAGATAACTCTCACACCGTAAGTGTACCTATATCCATGTTGTATATAGGTATATATATAATTATATATAATTAAACAGATTTATATATAATTATACATATATAAATACGCCCACCCGTCACTGATTTCATGCTAGATTTTCGCAATATCTCTAATAAATCTATGTACATGTATTATTATGTGACGAAGCAAAAGAACACGCGATTCATTTGTATTTCGTCAAAGGGGAAGATGTTTGCTGATAGTGCGATATGATGACGATGACAATGATGATGACAAAACTGTGAGGATGACGCTACGAAAGCAGAAGTTTTAGGCTAATCGTTTATTACATATTATGAGAAATGTCGCTACTAATAGTGTTACCACTTTGAATATTCAATAAAAAGTTGAGACTAGCGTTATTATACATTATGTATCTTATTAATTATTATAATTATATAATATTTAGTATATAATATGCTCTATTTTTTATTAAAGCGAAATTCTTAGAATGTATCTATATGTTAAACTTGCTTTACAGATTATGTACGCATTTTTAGCAAATCAATTGTTAATTACTAGATATGTGTTGCTCAACAGTATTCCTCCTTAGAATTCCTTACAACTTTTGTTCTTTTTCACAGATTCAAGTTTAACGGCAGTTACAAGTTTTTGATATTTGCGGTTGTAGACAGAGACATACTCATTATTGTGTCTAACTGATATTACTACTAATAAGCAACTTATTCTACTCGACAGGATATAACGTATAATTTTTGTCAAGCTATTACGACTGCGAAAACGAGGTCCAGCACGTCAGACTTTTTAGATTAGACCTGTCTTGCGTGCTCTTTACCTAGTTCGCGGGATTTAAGCTTGCGAGGTACACGGAAAGGATTCTCATCATATGATAGAGTCGTTGACACGCTCGACCTCGTTATATCTTCATCGTCGAAGGTCCGCGCGCAGTACGGTATTTCTCTTAGGTGCACGACTAAGGTCGCCCGAGTCATCTCGAGTACTACTCTTTTTCTACGCGAGGTGTGTTCAGGCAAGTACGTTTTTCACGAAAGCCATGAGCGACAACAGGCACCGTTATGGCACCTCTATGGCACCTCTATGGCAGTGTGTACTCGTTTCTTGCCACGATCGACAAATTCCAATATCCATTATCGACATCACGATTCCGTTCGAAGCGTGAGTCGTGTCTTACGTTACTAATTATCCGGTTTTGTCATGGATCGTATTTTCCTCTTAGTTATTGTGAACTATCAGATGTTTTTAAACATATTAAGTATAGCTAGATTTATTCACTTGACATTTTTTAAGCAGATTTGCATATTAAAAGATCCTGTCTTAAAAATAATTTTTATTAAATCTTTTGCTGTTTGTCGATCAACAGCTTGATAAATTTTCTAGACAAAGAGATTAATAGAAAAGAATGATTAAAAAAATTATGGATATAATTATTGATACCTAAAAAGAAAAAATAAATTGGAAACAAGCAGCTCTTAAAAAATTTTAAATAAATATTTAAGTAAATATAAGGATTGGAGTCCTGTTTTACGTACTTTTATTTTTAACGTCTAAATATTTGTTTACTTGATTTGCTTTTAAAATCACTATATATCTTTAGTTGAGAGAATTTGATAGGGTTTCGGAATATGTTAGCGATCAATAATGGACAGTACGATTCCGAT